CCCCCCCCCCCTATCGCCCCACCCCCACCCACCTCGCCGCGAATTCCGCCCGTAATACGGTTCCCGAGACACCCAGTACACAAACGTTAACATACACATTCGCCAGTGTTGTTTTCTGTCCAAAGCGGTTTAAAAAGGGGGAGAGAAACGTCCATGCGTGGATCGTGACCGGCATCTCTATAATACCCAAGGCACTTGATGTCTCGTGCGGTTGTTAGTTCGCGGAAGAAAGTTTCGAGGAAGATTGCAACGATGGAAGCGCCGTCGGGCGCACTCGCAACAATCTCGTATCAACCGATTTTTCAATTCCAAAAACAAAAAAAACCTAAAAACAAAGCTGAAACCGATGAAATGACGGCGTCGCGCTGTCTGGTGCTGTCATAGCCTGATCGAGCCCTTGAGAAGGCCCAAATAAACGAGACAATGGCTATCACCCAATCCCGATAAACAACAAAAGAAGGCATTGAAGGTACTAAAGTGGGTATTAGACTCACTCGTAGAGTTAGTTATCTATTTGGACGGGTGAGTGCGTACAGAAAGCGTTAGTCGAGCGCGGAGAGGTGCCCCATACAGAACAGAAAACTACTGCGGCTATCCGAGTATGGTCACACGGGGCCGTACGTGCCTTGGATACGTATATGTATAATACAAACCCGAGATCCCCAATCCCCCCCCCCCTTCGCCTTTCCCCACCCGACCAATTCCCTCCCCCGAATGGGGATAGCCACGTTACTACCATATAACAACATCAAACAGCTATGAAACCGTATATAAAACCCACCTAAGTCGTTTCGTATGAGTCAATGCCCAATGATTCGATATGTGAGACAGCTACGAGCTGTCGTCAATTGAAATATTTTTAGGCACTATCGCAAATCTCAATTTTTATTTCATCATTCCGGCACAATTGTTGGTTTTGTTCTTCGGGCTTGATTAATTGGAGGCTTGCTAATGGGTTGAACTAGTTGGGTGGGTGACGTCAGGGGTTGGGTGAGGGCGATGAGATTAGGATCGAATGAGTTCAGCTTGTGATGATCATCTGCATGCGGATTTTTCGATTGGACTTCACAAGCTTCAATCGTTGGGATTGGATTTTGAGGTGGTTGAGTCGATCGAGAAGACTTTCGAAGGGATTTTGGTGGAGGGATATTTGGGGATCTGATGGGCATGTAGCGGACTTGATGAAAGGAGATGGATTATGTCTGTCTGACAATGAAGAAGATTGAGAAGGAAAAGATAGTATTTGATGATTTGGGAAGATTACATAGATGTAAAGCTTTGAATTGAGCATCGACGAAAGAAGCTGTTGTTTTATCGAGTTTTTCGAGAAGCATCAATGAAAGAAACTATTAGAATCGAATGAATTCAGCTTGTGATGATCATCTGCATGCGGATTTTTCGATTGGACTTCACAAGCTTCAAGCGTTGGGATTGGATTTTGAGGTGGTTGAGTCGATCGAGAAGACTTTCGAAGGGATTTTGGTGGAGGTGGATTTAGAGATCTGATGAACGTGTTGCAGGCCTGATGAAAGGAGAGGGATTATGTCTGTCTAAATTACGGATAATTGTGATGACAATGAAGAAGATTGAGAAGCAAATGGCAGTATTTGATGATTTGAGAAGCTTACATAGATGAGAGGAGAAGTTTTCATAGACGTAAACCTTTGCATTGAGCATCGACGAAAGAAGCTATGGTTTTGTCCAATTGTTCAACAAGCATCAATGAAAGGAACTATGACTGATGTGTCGCTGAGCACATCTAGAACATCAATCAGATTACTCAAAAGAAATGATTGCTTTGTCGAAATTTCCCAAAATGGAGAAGCTTATATAGATGTGAAAGTTTGGAAAAGGCATCGACTAAAGAAGCTATAATTAATCTATCATTGCTATTGATATAAAGAGTGAAGCAGATGTCCCGAGGGAAATGACAGCTTTCTCCAAATGCAAAAGATACAGCTTATGGTGTTAAACCATCGAATATGAGTTTTAAAAATCGGGGGCTATTGGAATGTGATTTCTCAAACATTTAAGATCGATTATATATGTCTAAAAATGAATAATTAGTGCAAAAAAATTAATCGTTTACTATTACTCCAGGGCCTCCAATTTTTCAGTTACAAAAGTTTCTTTTTTTTCAAAATTTCTGAAAAAATTCTCATTCCAGCCGGCCTCGACTTTTAAAACTCATAGTAGTCTCCTCAAATCTTTTCCCGCTTCGCTACTACCCGAGTGGAAATTAAAATCAGGATAGAATAAGAGAATGATCAGTAAAAACGGACTGTGATCAGTTTTGGATCAGAAATGTAACGCTTGTTTGGATCCATGCCTGGTTAAAATTCTAGGAGCCGATCTTTCTGAACAGTACCAGATCCGATACGGATCGAGATTTGACTGATCAGAATAGGATCACAATTCACTTCGCCGCATTGGATCCAGATATTCCATTCAGAATCTCATGAGATCCAGATCCGAAAGTCTAATCAATAAATTGTGTTCAGTATTGGACCTAAAACTGATCTAGATCCAAGCTAACTGAGTGAAATTTCTACTCGGGTAAATAATGGCGATTCCAAATCTTCCATTTGAAACCAAAAAAAACCTACCGTAATCGGGTCTCACAACAGCCTGCACAGCTTGTTCATTTTTCTTGCTGCGCAACACAGGTTCACCAAGAATCGTAAAGTTCCTAGGTCCCACACGATTCACAAACACAAGATACACTTTACCCCGTTTAATATCAGCCCTAATGACCCTCTGATTGTAGTAATCAATCATCCTATTGGCCTCATAGTTATCAATCCCCTGTCCATCCCCACCAAATCCATGACTATCGTAGCGGCATATTGACGACTTATTGCCCACACTTTTGGGCACTTTATCACGAAAATGCAACCTAACACTGTCATTTTTACGCAGCGGTTGAAATCCCGATTGGCTTTTGTAAACTTGCTTAACTTCGAAGGTCACAGCATAGTTTGAGCCCGGTCTTCTCGACGACGACATGCTGCGCGCTTTGCCCTCAAACACTGTTGGCGACAAAAATGCTCGATTCGAAATATCCATGTAGGGACACCAATTTTTCCCCCGACAATTGCCGCCATTTTTTCGCCGACAATTTTTGCGCCTCTCCCTCAAAGAATCGCCCTTAACACGCGTTGATCTCACAACTCTCAGTCCATTACTGTCGTCAACAGTCGTCGGTGTCACCTGGTAATAATTGTACGTGTACATTTTACCATAATTACTCAATCTGCTGTGATGCACATCAATTTTATCAGCTAATTGTTCCGTTGGTGGTGGTAGCGGTTGTATGAGTGCTAATGCGCACCACCAACCGCTCAAAAATCCCGTAATAACGAAGGTAGCCCGCATTATCTGCCCTCCGACACCCTCAAATAAATTGAGTGTTAAACAGCGTCCTCCCCTATCCTCATCGTTAAAGAGGATACGAGGACGACGCGGATCGATTAATAAATTATAATATCGTTTTACAATATTATCATGTAGATCGCCGGTGATGTTGATGATAGTGATTAGTTGACACATTAATCCCATCACCTCTGCAAACATTTGATTCGCTTCTTGTTCAGTTTAACACTGGTTAGTATCAATATTTCGGCGATCTCTGACGATCTCGGCTTCATCATTGATTTTTATATGGTAATCTTTGGATTCGAATTCAGCGACTTCTTGCGCTCTCTGATTGGCTAGCGGTGGGCATCTCCCGGCCCCTCATTTGACGAATCCAAATAAATGTCGGTGGATGTTTCGGGGGAGAATTGACATCCACTCGTGAGACATTGATTGTTTATCATTCCATAGGGGAATTTTAAATCCCGATTGATTCCTCTTTCGATGATGGATTTAGCGGATTGTTTATATCCGTCGGTGATTTGTCGTGGAGAAAATCAGAGTTGCTGGAGTAGTGGTGGTTGTGATGATTTATCGGTGATTTTTGGTAACAGATGTACGAGAGTTTCATCGTTTTCTCATGTGGTGGGGGGGCCACGGGGGGAGGGGGGAGGGGGGGCTATTGCTGCACGTGTGCACGTGGGACGGGATGCATTTTTTTTAGGGACTGCTCTGGTTTTTCGGTACTTGGGAGTCACGAGTTGTCATGAAGTCAAAGTTGAGGAAAGTTTTTTTTCAATTTTTTTCGACGAACTTTTTTTTCAACTTGAGATTTTTTAAAAAATGATTTATCGAAAATTTTTTTAATCGTTGAACTTGTTTTTGGGGGATTTAAATCGAGGGATAATGCACCGTGTGACGGATGAAGTACAGCGGGAGTCGGAAAGGCACACGCGACGGTTGAAATTAGACTGAAGTGGGGTATAACTGGGTGGCTGTTGAAAGGCCGGTGACAGAGACCAGTGACTCCTAGTGGGCGCCGGTAGAGGCTCACACAAAATACTTCTTAGCGTTAATGCGCGCGCGCGGAATATAACTTATACGGATTTTTTTTTTACCATTCTTTATTCTGATACTGCCACTGTTCACGTCCAATGTGTCGTGGGACTGTCGTCCCTATCTCATCCATATATCTACACCTTTATTTCCGCGGATGGGAGGGTAAGGAATGGGGAGAATTGTCCGGGGAAATTGAGGGGATTTTTCGATTGTCCGGAGGCATCCGAGCAATGAGTTATGGGTTTGTCATTTTTTGGGCGATTGACGCGATCTAGATACTCCGGCAATTGATGATGATATTGGAGATTATAAATTCTGAATTGTCGTCAATCATTGCTGGGTCAATATCGGCTGACCCAACGGTGAGATTCAGATGATTTCGTTCTCATTTTGAAGATTGAGAAAAAAATGTGGCTCATTGCACAGGTCTAAATCAGATATAGTTTTTTTGCTAAAAATTAGTAATTTGGGACAATTTGAGATGAAATTTTTTAGTGAACTGAATGTATTTTAAATTAGACCGATCGAGTGAAAACAAAATGAATAGAAAATTTGATATCACAAGAGTTCATGCTCCTGATACATTAATGTTGATGTCTCCTCGGTCGTGAGTAAATTAATTAAATTTTATTTATCTCATGAATAGTTTACCTTAAACTGGACTTGGGACCAGTATAATTTTTTTGCTAATGAATTAGCAATTTGCTTCTGAATGGTAAATTGAGGAAGAAGATGTACCGGCCATGAAACCTTAATATGATGACTAAATGTCCAAAATGTCTAACATGAGCTCCATATGCCCTGGTTAAAATCCAACAGAGGCTGACTTAATTAAAATTAAGCTGGTTTGAACTTCCACTGATTAAACCTTGATTAAACATTGATTAACCCTTGACGAAACCTTGGTTAAACCCTGATTAACCTCCGACTAAATCCCGACTAAACCGCGACTGAATCCCGATTAAACCGTGACTAAACTTCGACTAAATCCTGGCTAAACTCCGACTAAACCGTGATTAAACCTCGATTAACCGCTTTTTAAGGCTGTAATTTCAAAGCAAATGCTGCGATCGCCACCATCTTCGAACTCGATTGAGATAACAAGCAAACGATTATTTCAAGCCATAATTGAAAAGATTTCGACAATTATTTTTTGAATGATCGTCGAAAAACTAAATCAGAAAGAAGCTTACATACGGACCTGATTTAAAAACAGCATAATCGAACTCTTGAGACAAAAATTAGTCATCGTCAAAAAAAGGAAATTTCAGATTTGACGAATACAATGTTTCCATTCGAAAGAAAAAATTGCAAATTTCCCTCTGGCGTTGTCGAGTAATTGAATATTGAGAAAGAAACATTTTATCTCGCTCTTCGCTAATTAGTTGATTAATTTGTTTTATCTACTTCGATATTCGTCACGGGACATTCCAATTGCAATGAAGCATGATCGAAGTCACTTAGAAATTTATTTCACACTGAAATGGCGAGTGCAGCATGAATAATCAAATGCAATTGGCTTTTCCGTCGATTTAAATCTTCTTCAGACAGTCATAAATACAAAACTCATGCTTCAACATTCACCCAATCTGCACAGTGTACTGATCCTCAAGAGTTTATTTTACCTCATTTTCCGAGGAAAACAAACGAGATTTCGTGAATACAGCGGGAGGTGCGGTAGTGCCTCGGCCCCGTGGTAACGCTCAACGTCTCCCGTCACGTCCGAACGTCAACACCGTGTTTCATCATTTCAATATATTACTGAGACCAAAGTGATGAATGGAGGGTAATGCCCACGAGGGGATTTGAACTCACAACCTTCAGATTACCAAATATTTATTGAATTGAGAGCATTCACTCCCTCAACGCCATTATATATCTCAAGAATTCCTCAATAAACATTCATCAGTGATGAACGCGGAAAAATATCCAGCGATGTGAGCCCTCCCATCCCCCACCTCAATCCCACCACCCGATTCAAAACATTTCAACAATCTCCGTAACGCGAAGCCTAAAAAAAAGATATTCAACGTCAAACGAGAGATATATCAACTCGCACCTGCTCAAACGGCACGCGCCGCAGGTCTTATTATATACACATTGTATCGTATATCTTTTTAGTACACATAACACGTGCTGTATCTCACCTCATCCCCGCCAAAACTACGTCATTGAATTAATCGACTAGATACGAGAGAATGAGAGGAGAAAAAAAGAATCCGAGCGAAAGGGAAAAGGAGTGTCAATCCAATCATCGATCCCATCTCCGTCTACCACAAACGAACAAAAAAAAAGCGGGGATAAAACCCACATAAAATAACCCAAGTCGAATCTTTGTTTATCTTTATCTCCTTTTTTTTGCTTGCCTCCAATCATTTTTTTATTCTCTCTTTATTTTCATTTTTGGGGTCTTGTCGGCTCGCGGCACGGCCACACGTGATTACAGGGTAGCCGGCACTCACCTCGAAACTCGGGTGGTCCGTACGGGTGGACCAACCAGGGACTCGTCTACCGAGATCGAGAATCAGCGCCACCATTTTTGTTTATATACAAAATATAGCGGACAAGTGTGTGAAATTTTTTATGTCAAGTCCTATTGGATTATGTGTAGGAATACTCAATAAAAACACATTAGTTTTATTCTTCAAAGTAAAACTCTTTAATGATCGCACGCAGAAGGTATATCTTTCTCCAACGAAGTCTCTAGGACGACTAACTAAAAGTCATGAGAGTTTTCACTCTCTGGACCCATTTGACAAAAGGCCCTTGTTTCAATTTTCTTCAGCCTCTCCTTTGTGACTCACCATGAGGACTGTTTTTCTTCACGTCTCTATTTTCTAAGAAAAGCCATAAATGTCACCCTGAGTGTTTGGGTGGAAAAGAGAAAATGTTTAACTAAACTAAGAAATTAATTTTTGTATTCAGGCATGAATTCCAACAAGTCCCTAGGGGTCGACTACTGGGGAAAGATTTTTTTCCCATGACAAATCAATTTCTCTGAAATTTTGTTGGTTATGTTCGTAAAATGTTAAACGGCATTTTTTTTTCGCTTGTATTTTTTAACAGCTGTCTCCTTCACATCCACTCGTTTTCGTGGGTTTTATGGTATAGGTGGTATATATAGGCTGGTGGTCCCTGCAGGCGCGTTCGGCCACTAACAGGCCTTACTGTGTCTTATTAGCGATACAGTCAATGTGAAAAGTTTATACGAGTCAATCCTTGTGATGAGTTAATCGGCCCATGGTGAGGAGAAAGGAGTTGAAGGGGCCGAGGGTTACGTGTCGCCCCCTTCCCCACCCCCCTCTCTTCCCCCCCTCCGTGTGCTGGGTGAGGCTGAGTTTTGTATACATAACATAAATGCACGCGTGGTGATGGTCCCTCACTTAGGCCCCTCGCGTCTCCTTGGGATGTTGGTGGGGTACTTAGGTCTCGCCACTGTTTTTTTTTTGGGGGGCCTGGGTTTAGGTACTTTGACTATTCCAGCGGGATGAGCGCTGCAGGAATATTGGTAAGTTGTATTTTATATTTTGTGAGGATCAAGGGAAGTGATGACACTTTGGGAATTTGAACCCCAGTCGTTTGCGTGCCAGACAAGTAATTTAGTCTCTTTGTGTGACACCAATTGATTGGCATTGTTTTATAGAACTTTTAGTTTCATGAATTTATTGTAGGGGTGTATGAGTTTATGCACATTGACCCTTATTTTGACCCTTGTGGCCCTTGTTATACCTTCCGTGACCCTTAATTTCGAAGTCTTAGTTTCGAGCACCAGATTTCCATCACTAAAAGTCGATTTGGATTTTCACAATATAAAGAGATATTGAGGCCCTTATTTAGACCCTTGTGACCGTCAGTTTCTGACCCCCATGACCTTCATTTGGATCCTTACTGACCCTTAACCCTTATTTGAACCTTTATTCTGACCCTCTTGATCGTTATTTTGACCCTCATGACCCTTATTGTGACCCTCGTGGCCCTTATTTTAACCCTCATGGCCCTTATTTGCACCCTCATAACCTTTGAGGCCCTTATTTCAACCCTCATGGCCCTTATTTGCACCCTCATGACCCTTGAGGCCCTTATTTCAACCCTCATGGCCCTTATTTGCACCCTCATGACCCTTGAGGCCCTTATTTTAACCCTCATGGCCCTTATTTGCA